GTGGGGCTTGTGTGATGTGTTGATTGGTTGTGGTTGTGATGTTTGTTTTTGTTTGATTTTTGTGGAGGTAAGGTGGGATGTTGTAGGGATGATTGGGGTGTGGTTTTGTTGTTGTTAGTTGGTTAATGATGGAGTGATGATGATGATTTGTTTGGTTTGTATTATAATGAAAATATAGAGGAATGTTAATTGAATATTATGTGTGTTAAATAATTTGGACAATGTAGGGATGATGCGGTTAATTGTTTAATGAAAGTGATTGAAAATGTCAATATAAAAAGAAATGGATGCGTAAAATAGGGTTTTGAATACAAGTTCCTAGAAAGGAGTAAAATAATAAGCATGTCCGGAGAGCATTAACTTATTTGCTACTTGAGAGGTAAATAGCGCGCCCTCCATGAATGGGGTCAAAGTGCATCAGTGTCAATTTGCGACAGGTTATCCGTCAAACCATGACATTCTGGGTGTTAGGGGATTCATATGTTCGGCGGTCATGTGATGGACATGTCAAGAGGAAGATATCACCTGCTACGCACTTGAAGGGTTTAATGAAGATACGCTAAAAAGAAACAAAGTGTAGAAGGTCGGTATGCCGACATAATGAAACTAGGGAGGAGGGATCCAACCGACCACTTGTATCTGTGAAGAGCAAGGGAGAAGGCTTTAAGCAAGTTATGGCCCTGAAATTACAACCAGTGGCACGAAAGAGCGAGTAAAGTTCGGCGGTTAGGGGGAAAGTATGCGCCTGAAAACAATAACCTATAACACGGACGACGTTGAGTAGCTCGGTTCTCGTGAGAAACACGATTAATAGATAACCAGGTCCTCTGGCTTGGGAGTACTTGAAAGCTGTTGGACGGGCATTGTCCCTAGGAGGTGGGCGAATTCAGTAGACTTTGAGAATGCAAAGGAGTACTGTGACATTAGGCGTTTTCTAGGTTGGGAGTTGAGCACGGTGGAGAAGTCCCTGGTTTTTGGGTAACGCTTGCGGCCTCGGCCTTGGGTAGGATAACTTGGGCTGTATGGTACCTGAAGCAAAAATGTGCCTGGGAGGGTAAATGTTGGAACTTCATTTATTTGGAGATAATGTTTGGGCTTTTGGTGGAGTGCCATAGCGTATGACGTTGGCTTTCCTCCATTTCAGTGACTTTTTGATGGGGCAAAGAATGCGATCCATTTTGTACATACCTTAAAATTCAGGAGGAAAAATGTGGGGGGGGAAGGGGGGGGTCCTTTACAATGAGGGGTTCCTGTAGTTAAATATTTATAACGGCGGCTTTTCAGGCCGCAGATCTTAGAGAAAGACTGAGTAGGAATATATGATAGAATTTGTTTTATTTTTAGGGTTGTGTTTTGTTTTAGGGGGGTTGGGAGTAGCATCTAATCCGTCTCCTTATTATGGGGTTATAGGATTGGTTGTGGCTGCTGTTGCTGGGTGTGGTTGGTTGGTGAGTTTGGGGGTTTCGTTTGTATCTCTGGTATTGGTGATGGTTTATTTGGGGGGAATGTTGGTGGTATTTGTTTATTCGGTTTCATTGGCGGCGGATCCTTATCCTGAGTCATGGGTAGATTGGGGGGTTGTTGGATATGGTTTTGGGATGGGTTTAGTTGTTATGGTTGGGCTTGTTGTTGGGGGTGTGTTAGGGATGGTTATGGGTGAGGGAGTGTTGGGTAGTGAGGAATTGTTGTCGGTTCGGTTGGATTTTAGTGGGGTAGCTGTTTTTTATTCGTATGGGGTTGGGTTACTTTTAATTGGTGGGTGAGGGCTGTTGTTGACTTTATTTGTGGTGTTGGAGCTTGTGCGGGGGTTGTCTCGGGGGGCTATTCGGGCTGTTTAGGGTTTTCAGAAAGTAGTTTAGTATGAAAATGCCAGCTTTGGGAGTTGGTGATGAGGGTTTAAATCCTTTCTTTCTGAAATAAATAAACTCTAAGAAGGGGCGTAGTCTTCAATCTTTGGTTTACAAGACCAATGTTTTTATAAACTATTAGAGTATGTTATAGTTTCAGTATTTTATTCTCTAGGATGGCTGTGAGGGGGAATAAAATTAGGATAATTGTGAAGTATGAGAGTGAGGCTAGTTGGCCGATGATAATGAATGGGTGTTCTACTGGTTGGCTGCCTACTCATGTGAGAACTAGGACGTTGGCGACTAGGGTTCAGAATAGGATTTGGGAGAGTGGTCGGAATGTTATTGATCGTAGTTTGGATGTGTGGAGTAGGGGAAGTAGGAATAGAACTAGGATTGAAGCTATTAGGGCTAGGACTCCTCCTAGTTTGTTGGGGATGGATCGTAGAATGGCGTAGGCGAATAGGAAGTATCATTCAGGTTTGATGTGGGGGGGTGTTACTAGGGGATTGGCAGGTGTGAAGTTTTCTGGGTCTCCTAGTAGGTTGGGGGAGAATAGGGCTAGTGAAGCTAGGAGGAAGAATATTAGTGCGAAGCCTAGGATATCTTTTGTGGTGTAGTAGGAGTGGAAGGGGATTTTATCACAGTCTGATGGGATACCTAATGGGTTGTTTGAGCCTGTTTCGTGCAGGAAGGTGAGGTGAACTAGTGTGAGGCCTGCAATGACGAATGGGAGTAGGAAGGAGAGAGCAAAGAATTGTGTTAGTGTGGGGTTGTCTACTGAGAATCCTCCTCAGGCTCATTCTACTAATGTTTGGCCGATGTAGGGGATGGCTGAGAGTAGGTTTGTGATTACTGTGGCTCCTCAGAAGGATATTTGTCCTCAGGGTAGTACATATCCTACGAAGGCAGTTGCTATGAGGGTTAGGAGGAGAATGACTCCGATGTTTCAGGTCTCTTTGTTTAGATATGAGCCGTAGTAGATTCCTCGGCCGATGTGAAGGTAGATGCAGATGAAGAAGAAGGAGGCGCCGTTTGCGTGGAGGTTTCGGATTAGTCAGCCAAATTGTACATCTCGGCATATGTGGGCTACTGAGGCGAAAGCTAGGGAGGTGTCTGCTGTGTAGTGTGTTGCTAGCAGCAGGCCTGTTACAATTTGGGTAATTAGACAAATGCCCAGGAGTGACCCGAAGTTTCATCATGTTGAGATGTTTGAGGGTGTGGGGAGGTCAATTAGGGCGTCGTTGATGATTTTTAGTAGTTCGTGGTTTTTTCGTAGGTTTGGGGCCATTAGTTGGTTCTGTGTATGGATGTGAGGATGATTAGGATGGATAAGGCGAATGTTCCTAGGTAGGCTTTTATTTGTCCTGAGTGTAGGGTGGTGGCGGTTTTGGTTGCTAGGACTTGCAGGTTGGCTAGTCCTTCTGGGCCGAATATTTTAAATCAGGATAGGTCGATCAGGTGTGAGGCGATGTTTTGGCCTCCTTTTAGGGAGTTTGTTATGCTGAAGCGGTGAATTAGGGGGTTGAAGAATCCTAGGGAGGTGGAGAAGTTTGAGAAGGTAGTTTGTTTTGTTAGGATTAGGGTTTGGGTTATTTTTGAAATTTCTAGGGCTAGGGCAATTCCTAGGGCTGTGACCATTAGGGCTGTGATTTTGATGGATAGTGGTATTGTTATGGGTGGGGTTTTTGTGGGGATGATAAATGAGGTGATGAGAAATCCTGCCGTAATACTTCCTAGAGCTAGTCGAGTTAGAGGGGAAGTCACTGCGGGGTTGTTTTCATTGATTGGGGTGAGGGGAGCGATTCGAACGAAGCCTGTCTGTACTAGTACGATTATACGGATTGTGTATACTGCGGTGAAAGATGTTGCTAGTAGGGTAAGCACTAAAGCTCAAGTGTTTAGGTAGGATGTGCTTAAGCTTTCGATGATTTGGTCTTTTGAGTAGAATCCTGCTAGGAATGGTGTTCCTATCAGGGCGAGGTTGCCGATAGTTAAGCAGGAGGTGGTTGTGGGTAGTATTTTTTGTAGGCCTCCTATTTTTCGGATGTCTTGTTCGCCGTTTAGGCTATGGATGATGGATCCGGAGCATAGGAATAGTATTGCTTTGAAGAAGGCGTGGGTTGAGATGTGGAGGAAGGCTAGTTCGGGTAGATTTAGTCCGATGGTGACTATTATTAGGCCTAGTTGGCTTGAGGTTGAGAAGGCGATGATTTTTTTGATGTCATTTTGGGTGAGGGCGCATGTGGCTGCAAATAGGGTAGATAGGGCTCCAAGGCATAGGCATAGAGTCAGGGCAGTTTGGTTGTGGTTGAATAAGGGGTGAGTTCGGATTAGTAGGAAAATTCCGGCTACTACTATTGTGCTGGAGTGCAGTAGGGCGGATACTGGGGTGGGTCCTTCTATGGCTGCTGGCAGTCATGGGTGGAGGCCGAATTGGGCTGATTTACCTGTTGCGGCTAGGATAAGTCCTAGTAGGGGGAGGGTGGGGGTTTGTGATGGAGAGGATAGTTGTTGGATTTCTCAGGTGTTTATGGTTGAGGCTAGTCATGCTATGCATAGAATGAGTCCGATGTCTCCTACTCGGTTGTAGAGTACGGCTTGGAGGGCGGCAGTGTTGGCTTCTGCTCGGCCATGCCATCAGCTGATTAGCAGGAAGGATATGATTCCGACTCCTTCTCATCCGATGAATAGGACGAATAGGTTGTTTGCGATAATTAAGATGAGTATTGCGATTAGGAAAAATAAGAGGTAGGTGAAGAATTTTGTGATGTATGGGTCTGAGGCCATGTATCATGTTGCGAATTGTAGGATAGATCATGATACGAATAGGGCGATTGGGAAGAATGTAAGGGAGTAGAAGTCTATTTTTAGGCTGATAGGGATTTTGAAGTTTATGATGAATTTTCATTCTCATAGGGAGATTAGGCTTTCTGTTCCTGAGTGGATGAATATCATTATTGGGATTAGGCTGATTAGGAAGGATGTTTTGACTGTGTTTGTGATGATGGTAGGGGAGTTTTTGAGGTTGTCTGATAGTATGGGGAGGATGATGGGAGTAGATAGGGTGGCTAGGGTTAGGAGTATTAGTGTGTTTAGGACTAGTGGTAGGTCCATTACTCTCACTTGGATTTGCACCAAGGTGGATGGTTCCTAAGACCATTGGATTACTTCTATCCTTTGAGAGTAAGGGGACTGAGGTTTTATACTCAGATGCGAGAGTTAGCAGCTCTTGTTGGTTTAACCTCCCCTCGGCAGGTAAGAAGGATTTAACTTCTGTTTTTAGAGTCACAGTCTAACGTTTTGGTTAAAACTATACTTGCATATGGGTACTCCGGAGATGAGTTCGGGTTTTAGGATGAGTAGTATTATGGGGATTATGTGTAGGGCTATGAGTAGATGTTCTCGTGTGGAGGAGTTTTGGATTGATGTGATGTGAGATGGTAGTGTTCCTCGTTGGGTTATCATGAGTATGTAGAGGGTGTATGAGGCGGTGAGTAGGATTGCGGTTCCTGTGAGGATGATTGTGAGGGAGGATCAGTTGAATAGTGCGATTACGATGGTTAGTTCTGCTATTAGGTTTGTTGTTGGGGGTAGGGCTATGTTGGTTAGGTTAGCTAGAAGTCATCAGGTGGCCATGAGTGGTAATAGGGGTTGTAGTCCACGTGTGAGTAATAGGATTCGGCTGTGGGTTCGTTCGTAGTTGGTGTTGGCTAAGCAGAATAGTATTGAGGAGGTTAGTCCATGTGAGATTATTAGGATTATTGCTCCTGAGAATGCTCATTGGGTTTGAATTATTGTTGCGGCTACGACGAGTCCTATATGGCTTACTGATGAGTAGGCGATGAGTGATTTTAAGTCGATTTGTCGTAAGCAGATAGCGCTGGTTATTAGTGCTCCTCATAATGCTAAGGTGATGAAGGGATAGTGTAAGTTGTTTGATGGGGGATTTACTAGGATGGTAATTCGTATAATGCCGTACCCTCCTAGTTTTAGGAGCAGGGCGGCTAGTAGTATTGATCCGGCGATTGGGGCTTCTACATGGGCTTTTGGTAGTCAGAGGTGTAGGCCGTATAAGGGGGCTTTCACTATGAAGGCCAGTAGGAGGGCTAGGCTTGCGATTAGGCCTGATCATGAGTTGTTTAATGTGGGGTGTGAGAGTTTAAGTATTGGAAGGTATAATGTGCCGATTTGGTTTTGTAGGTGAAGGATTGCAATTAGCAGGGGGAGTGAGCTGGCGAGGGTGTAGAATAGGAGGTAGATGCCGGCATTTAGGCGTTCTGGTTGGCTTCCTCATCGTGTGATGAGGATTAGGGTGGGGATCAGGGTTGCTTCGAATGCGATGTAGAATAGTATTAATTCTGAGGCTGAGAAGGCTAATAGGATTGATGTTTGGGCTAGGATGATTGTTGAGGTGAAGATTCGTTTGCGGGTGGTAGGTTCTTGTTCTAGGTGATTTTGGCTTGCTATGAATATGAGTGGAAGTAGTCAGCACGATAGAACTAGTAATGGGGAGGAGATTTGGTCAATGGAGGTTCAGGGGGTCAGGCCTTTGTTTGGGTAGTATGTGGGGGTTAGTCATTGGAGGCTGATGCTGGCGATTAGGAAGCTGTGTAGGGTGATGTTAGTTCATATATGTTTGGGAGGGGATAGGAGTGTTAGGGGGAGTAGTATTGTAGTTGGGATAATGATTTTTAGCATTGTAGTAGGTTAAAGTTGTGTAGGTGGTCGGAGCCGTGGGTTCGAGTAGAGGCTACTAGTAGGGCTAATCCTGTACCCGCCTCGCAGGCGGAAAATGTTAGTATGATGATTGGAAGGAGGGTGGAGGATGTTGATTGTATTTGGATTGGTCACATGGCTAGGGCTATATATATGGATAATATCATGCATTCTAAACATAGGAGGGCGGAGATTAGGTGGGTGCGGTGGAAGGCTATGCCTAGGCTGCTTAAGGTGAAGGCTGAGTAGAAACTTAGGTGGAGGTAGGACATGAAGAAAGTTATAGGTTTAAGCTATAATCTGTTGAGTCGAAATCAACTGTCTTGGTTAGACTAACTTTCTGTTATTCCGCTCATTCTAGTCCTCCTTGGGTTCATTCGTATACGAGTCCTAGTGTTAGTAAGAGAATTAGTGTGGAGGCTCATATTAGGGTGGTGGTGGGGGATTGAAGTTGGATTGCTCATGGTAGGGGTAGTAGTAGGGCGATTTCTAGGTCGAATAGTAGGAATAGGATGGCTACTAGGAAGAAGCGGATTGAGAATGGTAAGCGGGCGGATCCTAGGGGGTCGAATCCGCATTCGTATGGGGATAGTTTTTCTGAGTCTGGGTTAATTTGGGCTAATCAGAAGTTTAGGGTGGTTAGGATAATGCTTAGGGATGTGGATAGGATGAATATGAATATGATTATGTTTATTACTCTTCTCTGGGTTTAAACCAGATTTTAAGGATTGGAAGTCGATTGTAATTAATATACTAGAAGAGTAAGATCCTCATCAGTAGATAGAGATATATAGGAATAATCAGACGACGTCTACGAAGTGTCAGTATCATGCTGCTGCTTCGAAGCCAAAATGATGGTTTGGTGTGAAGTGGTATTTGATTAGGCGCGCTAGGCATACGAGGAGGAATGTGGATCCGATGATTACGTGAAGGCCGTGGAATCCGGTAGCTACAAAGAAGGTTGAGCCGTATACTCCGTCGGCGATGGAAAAGGGGGCTTCGTAGTATTCTATGGCTTGGAGGGCGGTGAAATAGAATCCTAGGAGGACTGTTAGGGTTAGGGCGTGGATTGCTTGTTTTCGGTTGGCCTCTGTGATGCTATGGTGGGCTCATGTTACGGTGACCCCTGAGGCTAGAAGAATAGCGGTGTTTAGGAGTGGTACGTCTATGGGGTTTAATGGTTTGATTCCTACGGGTGGTCATTGTCCTCCTAGTTCGGGAGTGGGGGCTAAGCTTGAGTGGAAGAAGGCTCAGAAGAATCCTAGGAAAAAGAAGGCTTCTGATGTGATGAAGAGGGCTATTCCATATCGTAGGCCTTTTTGGACAGTAGGGGTGTGGTGGCCTTGGAATGTGCTTTCTCGTACGATGTCTCGTCATCATTGGAATATAACTAGTATGGTGGAGAGTAGGCCTATAATTAGAAGTTGAGGTGAGTTATAGTGGAATCATATTGTTAGTCCTGAGGTGGTTAGTAGAGCGGCGGCTGCTCCTAGGATAGGTCATGGGCTGGGGTCGACTATGTGGTAGGAATGTGCTTGGTGGGCCATTGGTTTAGATATTTTCTTGAAGGTAGAGGCTAAGTAGAAGTACAAAGACGTAGGCTTGGATAATTGCTTCTGCTTCTTGTAGGATTGTAAGAAGAAATAGTAGTAGCAGGGATAGTAGGGAGACTGCTGGTATTGTTGTAGATAATGGTATTGTGGCAGTTGAGATGAGTTGAATAAGTAGGTGTCCTGCTGTAAGGTTTGCTGATAGTCGTACTCGTAGGGCTTGTGGTCGGATAAGTAGGCTTGTTGTTTCGATAAGGATGAGGGCTGGGATTCGTGGTGTTGGGGTCCCTTCTGGCAGTAGGTGTCATAGGGAAGCAGAGGGTTGATTTCGTAGCCCTGTCAGGAGTGTGGCAAGTCATAGGGGGAAGGCAAGTGCGAGGTTAATTGATAGTTGGGTGGTTGGAGTGAATGTATATGGTAGTAGTCCAAGTAGGTTAATGAGGAGAAGGAAGAATATAAGGGATGTTTGGATAAGAGCTCATTTATGCCCTTTTTTATATAGCGGGGATATAAGTTGTTTTGTGACAAGGTTGATGAATCATAGTTGGAGGGTTGATAGTCGGTTGGTGATTCATCGGTTGTCTATGGAGGGTAGGAGTAGGGCTGGGAATGTTATTGAGATGAGGATTAGTGGGATTCCCAGGAGGGATGGGCTAGAGAATTGGTCGAAGAAGCTTAGGTTCATGGTCAGGTTCAGGGGGTGGTACTTGGTGTAGTATGGGTTTTGCTAGATGGAGGGTTAGTTGATACGAATGTTAGGACTTTGGGTTGGATAATCATGGAAAAGGTTAACCATGAAATGATCATGATAAAAAGCCAGGGGTTTGGGTTTAGTTGAGGCATACCATTAAGGAGGGATGTAGCCCTCTTTCTTTAGCTTAAAAGGCTAATGCTGATTCATAGCTTCTTAATGGTTGGTGGTGTTTAGGATGAGATTGAGGATGATCAGTTTTCGAAGTTGGCGAGTGGGGCGGATTCTACTACGATTGGTATGAAACTGTGGTTGGCTCCGCAAATTTCTGAGCATTGTCCGTAGAAGACTCCTGGCCGGGATGCGAACAGGGAGGTTTGGTTTAGGCGTCCTGGGATTGCATCGGTTTTTACTCCTAGGCTTGGTACGGCTCATGAGTGGAGTACGTCGTCAGCGGTGACAATTACTCGGATGGTGGAGCTTGTGGGGATTACTACTCGATGGTCGACTTCTAGTAGGCGGAAGTGGCCTAGGGGTAGGTCTGTTGTTGGGATTATGTAGGAGTCGAATATTAGGTCTTTGAAGTCGGTATATTCGTAGGATCAGTATCATTGGTGGCCGATGGCTTTTAGTGTTAGGTCTGGTTCGTTGATTTCGTCTATTATATATAGGATTCGTAGGGATGGCAGGGCTAGTATGATTAGGACTATGGCTGGAAGGATTGTTCAGACTAGTTCGATTGCTTGGGCGTTGACTGTGTTGGAGGTTAGTTTTTCTGTAAGTATAAGGGTTAGTAGGTAGAGGACTAAGCTGCAGATTGCTAGGGCGACTATTAGTGCGTGGTCGTGAAATCCTATGAGTTCTTCTATGATAGGGGATGAGGCATCTTGGAAGTTAAGTTGTGAGTGGTTTGCCATGGTTGGGTGTGGAGATACACTGGGGTTTCACCTGTAATTTAGTCTTGACAAGACTATGTAATTGTTTTACTAGTATCTCTTTATGAGAAAGAAGCATAAGTGGTTTATGCGGTTGGCTTGAAACCAACATATGGGGGTTCGATTCCTTCCTTTCTTGAACCTGGACGAAGGCTGGTTCTTCGAATGTGTGGAAGGGTGGTGGGCATCCGTGGATTCATTCGATGTTGGTGCTTGTTAGTTCTGGTTGTAGTACTTTACGTTTAGATGCGAAGGCTTCTCAGATGATAAATACTAGTATAATTACAGCTGTTAGGGAGATAAGTGAGCCTACTGATGAGATAGTATTTCATATTGTGTAGGCATCTGGGTAGTCTGAGTATCGTCGTGGTATGCCGGCTAGGCCTAGGAAGTGTTGGGGGAAGAAGGTTAGGTTTACTCCTACGAATATTACTCCAAAGTGCACTTTGGCTCATGTTGAGTGAAGTGTATATCCTGTGAATAGGGGGAATCAGTGAGTGAATCCTGCCAGGATAGCAAATACTGCTCCTATTGATAGGACATAGTGGAAGTGGGCTACTACGTAGTAGGTGTCGTGTAGAGCAATGTCTAGTGAGGAGTTTGCTAGGACAATCCCGGTTAGCCCTCCAATGGTAAATAGGAAAATAAATCCTAGAGCTCATAGTATTGGTGGGTCTCATTTGATTGTTCCTCCGTGGAGTGTTGCTAGTCAGCTAAACACTTTGATGCCGGTTGGGATGGCGATAATTATGGTTGCAGATGTGAAGTATGCTCGGGTGTCTACGTCTATTCCTACTGTAAATATATGGTGGGCTCAGACGATGAATCCTAGGAATCCGATTGATAGTATGGCTCATACTATCCCCATGTAGCCGAATGGTTCTTTTTTACCTGCGTAGTAGGTTACGACGTGGGAGATGATGCCGAATCCTGGTAAGATTAGGATGTAAACTTCTGGGTGGCCGAAGAATCAGAAGAGATGTTGGTATAGTACTGGGTCTCCTCCTCCTGCAGGGTCGAAGAATGTTGTATTTAGGTTGCGGTCTGTGAGAAGTATTGTGATTCCTGCGGCAAGGACAGGGAGGGATAGGAGAAGTAGGACTGCAGTAATTAAGACAGATCATACGAATAGGGGGGTCTGGTATTGTGATAGGGCGGGTGGTTTTATATTGATTGCTGTTGTGATGAAGTTGATTGCTCCTAGGATGGAGGAAATACCTGCTAAGTGAAGTGAGAAAATGGCTAGGTCTACTGAGGCTCCGGCATGGGCTAGATTTCCGGCTAGTGGTGGGTATACTGTTCAGCCTGTTCCGACTCCTGCCTCGACTGTTGAGGATGCTAGTAGCAGGAGGAACGAGGGGGGGAGAAGTCAGAAGCTTATATTGTTTATTCGTGGGAATGCTATGTCTGGGGCTCCGATTATTAAGGGGACTAGTCAGTTTCCGAATCCTCCAATTATGATGGGTATAACTATGAAGAAAATTATTACGAAAGCATGGGCTGTGACGACAACGTTATATACTTGGTCGTCTCCTAGTAAGGCTCCGGGTTGGCCTAGTTCTGCTCGAATGAGGAGGCTTAGGGCGGTACCTACTATTCCGGCTCAGGCGCCGAAAATTAGGTATAGGGTCCCGATATCTTTGTGGTTGGTTGAAAATAATCATCGGTTAATGAATGTCACAGGTAAGATGGCTGAGTGTATAAGCGTTAGGCTGTAGTCCTTTTCACAGAGGTTTGATTCCTCTTCTTATCGGTCCTGTAGTGAAGTTCATAGTGAGTTGCAAGCTCATTGATGTGCATTAGAAGTGCGCCGGGGCCTGTAGACAGAAGCCTGTTGGTTTGGGCATATAGCTGTTAACTATAGTGTTATGGGATCGAAGCCCATCTGTCTAGTGGTAGGTAAGGTCCTAGCTTAATTAAAGTGTCCGAGTTGCGTTTGGGAGATGCAGGGTAATGTCCTGCGGACTTTAGCAGAAACTAAGAGGGTTTAACTCTTGTTTAAGGCTTTGAAGGCCTTCGGTTTAAGTGATCCTAAGTTTCTTAAATAATGGTGAGGATTATTGGGGCGATTGGGAGTAAGGTAATAGATAATGAGGCTAAGATAGCGATTAGGGGGTTTGTTGGTTTGTTAATGTGTCATTGTTTAATATGGTTAGTGGTATGTGGGGGGAGTGTGATGGTAGCGCAGTATGCAAGTCGTAGGTAGAAGAATAGTCCTAGTAGTGATAGTAGGGAGATGATTGTGGCTGTTGGGGCTATGTCTTGTTTGGTTAGTTCTTGGATGATAAGTCATTTTGGTAGGAATCCTGTTATTGGAGGTAGTCCTGCAAGGGATAATAGGGTTAATAGTAGGATTGCGCTTAGTGATGGGGCTTTTGTTCATGCAGTTATTAGGGTTGATAGTTTTAGGACTTTTATTGAGTTTAGGGTTATGAATACGGTTGCGGTTATTAGTGCATATAGATAGAAGTTTAGTAGGGTAAGTTTGGGGTTGTATGTAATGATGATGGCCATCCATCCTAAGTGAGAGATGGATGAGAAGGCTAAGATTTTTCGGGTTTGTGTTTGGTTTAGTCCTATTCACCCTCCTAGGGCTGTTGAGAGAATGGCCAGGATGACTAGGAGGGTAGGATTTAGGGAATGTGAGGTTATAAAGAGTAGTGTTAAGGGTGGTAGTTTTATGGCTGTGGATAGGATTAGTCCTGTGGTGAGGGGGGATCCTTGTAATACTTCTGGAAATCAGAAATGGAAAGGTACTAGACCTAGTTTTATTGCAATTGCAGAGGTGAGGATTAAGCAGGATATTGGGTGGGTTAGTTGGGTAATGTCTCATTGTCCAGTATGCCATGCGTTGGTTATGCTGGAGAATAGTACTAGGGCTGAAGCAGCTGCCTGGGTGAGGAAGTATTTGGTAGCGGCTTCGATTGCTCGAGGGTGGTGGGATTTTGAGATTAGTGGTAGGATGGCAAGTGTGTTGATTTCTAGTCCGGTTCAGGCTATAATTCAATGGTTGCTTGAAATTGTGATGGTGGAGCCTAGCAGGAGACTGGCGATGAAGACTAGTTTTGCTTGGGGGTTCATTAGCAGGGGAAGGGGTTGAACCATCATTTTCGGGGTATGGGCCCGATAGCTTATTTAGCTGACCCTACTAGAAAGTAATATAAAGGAAGTATGGAGGGTTTTGATTTCTCTAGTGTAGGTTCGATTCCTACTTTTCTAAATATTAGGAAATGAGAGGACTGGTGTACCTCTATGTTCACTTTATCATAGTGACCCTTAAGTATTCAGGCACATTTCCGGCGATCTTAGGTATGGGGGCAGGCCCGCATAGCAAGATTGGTATGCTGATGTGTCACAGACATAGGGCGAGTGTAAGTGGGAGAAAGTTTTTCATAGTAGTGTATTAGTTGGTCATATCGAATCGTGGGTATGAGGCGCGGATCATAGGAATCCTGCTGATAGAAGAAGTACTTTTGTTGCCAGGATTACTGGGAATAGCTCTTGTTGTGGGTTAAGAAAGCTTGGGTTGAAGAATAGGATAGTGGTTAGTGCGTTTATTAGTATAATGTTGGCGTATTCAGCTAGGAAGAATAGGGCGAATGGACCTGCTGCGTACTCTACGTTGAAACCGGAGACTAGTTCGGATTCTCCCTCTGTTAGGTCGAATGGAGCTCGGTTCGTTTCGGCTAGTGTAGATACGTATCATATTATGGCTAGGGGTCAACATGGGAAAATGAGGTAGAGGGGTTCTTGGGTAATTGCTAGGGTGCTTAAGGTGTAGTTTCCGCTAAGGAGGATAACGGATAGTAGGATAATTGCTAGGGTGACTTCATAGGAGATTGTTTGAGCTACTGCTCGTAATGCCCCGATTAGGGCGTATTTTGAGTTTGAGGCTCATCCTGATCATAAGATGGAGTAGACTGCTAGGCTTGACATGGCTAATAGAAATAGTACGCCTAGGTTTAGGTCGGCTAGGGAGAATGGTAGGGGGAGTGGTATTCAGATTGAGACAGCTAGGAGAAGGGCTAGTATGGGTGTTGTGATAAATAGGATTGGGGAAGATGTTGATGGTCGGATGGGTTCTTTAATGAATAGTTTAATACCATCTGCCAGGGGTTGTAAAAGTCCATAGGGGCCGACGATGTTTGGGCCTTTTCGGCTTTGCATATAGCTTAGGATTTTGCGTTCTACTAATGTTAGGAAGGCTACTGCAATTAGAATTGGGAGGGCGTAGGATAAGGTTATGATGAGGTTAATTAGAAGGGGGTAGTTGTTCATGGAGGGGTTTAAAGCTAGGGAGAGGATTTGAACCTCTGAGTTAAAGGACTTAAGCCTTTTGCATTTTCCGATCTCTGCCACGCTAGCTGGTCCTTTTCTTGGACGGGGGGGGAAGTGATAGCTTTTCGTGATTTAGTTGCTTTCATCACTTAAGGCGGAGGCTTGCTTGTGGTATTGGCCTCACTTTTCCTGTCCTTTCGTACTGGGAAGAGTTCATCATAGATGGAAACCGACCTGGATTGCTCCGGTCTGAACTCAGATCACGTAGGACTGTTAATCGTTGAACAAACGAACCCTTAGTAGCTGCTGCACCACTAGGATGTCCTGATCCAACATCGAGGTCGTAAACCTCCCTGTCGATATGGACTCTCGGGGGAGATTGCGCTGTTATCCCTGGGGTAGCTTGGTCCATTGATCAATTGTATTGGGTCTGGGTGCTGTTAGCACGTTGAGGGGTTGCTCTTGGTCTAGAGTTGTGGTCCAATTTTTGGAGGCTTTGTTTTACTCCAAGGTCGCCCCAACCGAAAAACACGTGCCAATCTCTTATGTGTCAGTGAACCCGGTGGGTGTGTATGTGATATAAGGTGGCCGTTGGTTTTGAAGTTCCACAGGGTCTTCTCGTCTTATGGGTTTATCCCTGCTTTTGTACAGGGAGATCAATTCACCGATTGCCTGTAAGAGACAGTTAAGACCTCGTTTAGCCATTCATACAAGTCTCGATTTATGGGACAATTGATTGCGCTACCTTTGCACGGTTAGGATACCGCGGCCGTTAAACGTGAGTCACCGGGCAGGCATCACCTTCAATACTTGTTTGTTGGTTTGCTGAAGGCTATGTTTTTGGTAAACAGTCGGGCCTTGACGAATTTGCCTAGTTCCTTTTACAGGTTTTAATCTTTCTTAATGGACGCTCCTCTGTCGGGTTAACAAGATGCTTAATACTCTGCTTGTTTGATTTGTCGTATATTGGTAATTTGTTAATAATGTATAGATGTAAGCTTGCGTCGTAGAGGGAGGACCCTGGTTACTCATTCTAGCATTAATTCTCCTATTTACATATAGGTTAGCCTGTTAATGGGGAGGGAGTCATAGGGTTTTTATATTTTTGAATACGGAGCTTTAACGCACTCTTCGTTGATGGCTGCTTAAGGGCCCACAGTAAGTTCGTATGTTGTTATTTATCCGCTCGTAGAGATTGTATTCTTTTTTAAAGGAGCTGTACCTCCTTTAAATATCCCTTAATTCGCTTCATTAGGGTTCTTTGGTTCCTTGGAGAAGAATTAAGAGTGAACTTAGATTCATTTCACAGGCAACCAGCTATCACCCAGCTCGGTTGGCTTTTCACCTCTACTAACAAGTCATCCCACTCTTTTGCCACAGAGACGGGTTCGCTCTAACAGCTGCTCGTAAGTAGCTCGCTTGGGTTTCGGGGTGGCAAACTTAAATTCGTTTTGCTTGGTTTTTCTTGCTAGACCATGATGCAAAAGGTACAAGGGTTGATCTTTGCTGTTTTTAGCTTAGTTTTCATTGTTATTTCATCTTTCCCTTACGGTACGTAGTCTCTATCGCTCCAATGGTGTCTTTTCTATCGCCTATACTAGGACTAGTAAATGCTTTGGTTTAGTGTGAGTAGTAGCTTTGTTATTCCAGGTCATGTTGATTGGGCTAGAGTTTGGCATCAAGACGATCTGGTGTTAGCAGATATTTTTCAGGTGTAAGCTGAATGCTTTCGTTTAAGCTACGTCTTGGTATTCTAAGTACACCTTCCGGTACACTTACCTTGTTCCCCCCTTTTTTGGGGAAAAAAGTTTTTAAATTTGGGGGGGGGGGGGGCGCCTGCGAGGAGGGTGACGGGCGGTGTGTACGTGCCCCAGGGCCGGCTTAAAGAGGGCTCGATTGTCCCACTTTACTGCTAAATCCGCCTTCCAGGGACAGTTTCAAGTCCCTTTGCCGTTGTGTTCTAGTCTAGAAAATGTAGCCCATTGCTTCCATTCCATGGGCTATACCTTGACCTGTCTTGTTAGCGTGGTTAGGGCTGTTGCGTCCACTGTTGGGCTTTCAGGGGAGGTGGGCTGGCGACGGCGGTATGTAGGCTGAATTATGGCAAGGAATGGTCAGGTATAACGTGGATCATCGATTACAGAACAGGCTCCTCTAGGTGGGTTTGGGGCACCGCCAAGTCCTTAGAGTTTTAAGCGTTAGTGCTCGTAGTTCTCGGGCGGATGCTTAAGTAGGGTTGAAGCATCAAGATTTAGGGCCAGGCATAGTGGGGTATCTAATCCCAGTTTGGGCCCTGGCTTTCGTGGAGTTCAATTAATCGTTGTTCTAAGATCTTCTTTGACGTGGAGGCCTTACTAGCATCTTGGGCTTGTGACGGCTCAGTTGCCTTTTAATCTTAGCTACTTGGATAACATGTGACCACTCTTTACGCCGTTATAAAGTTAATTTGGGTCTCCTGTATGACCGCGGTGGCTGGCACAGGATTTACCAACCCTAGATTTGCTATGGCTAAGTCAAGTTTACACTCATTGCTTAATATTAACTACTGCTGAATACCCGTGGGGGTGTGGCAATTGCAAGGCGTCTTGGGCTACGGGGGGGTGTGAGCCTGATGCCCGCTCCTATCTACCCTTAGTGGGTGTCCAGGGCATCTACACTGGGGCGCGGATACTTGCATGTATATACCTAGCAAAAACTAACAGTAAGGTTAGGACTAAGTCTTTTGTCTTTGGGTGTGTGTGCAACGACCGTCTTGACATCTTCAGTGTCATGCTTTTTGTAAGCTACAAAGAC